ACTATGATAGAATGGTTCTGAATTTAGATTTAAATTATCAATAAAAAATAGTAGTTTGTGTCTGACTAATCAAATCCGAATTATAATCTCATTTATTGACGTATTTAGTGGCTAATGATATTATATTGACATTCTTTCCCTTTTGTTTGTTCATTTGTAAATAGAAATTAAAGAAAATCGAACTAAATTGTTTATTTATGCATATGCAGTAGCTAAAACCCAATAAGAGTTGAAACCTCTCATTTGGACTAACATTTTATTATCCTTGAAATTATGACACATTTTCTTATAATATATTTATATAACAAAGTAGTTAAATTATTTGTTTTGAACTTTTCACGGCTCAGATCGTTTTGATCCGTTGATCCTAATGGAATTTTTATTTTTTTTACAACTCTAAGGGTCTCATATTCCATATAACTCTCTCTCATACTAATGAGCCCGAATTTAACTGGGTTAGGCCCAATTAATGAGATAAACCCAAATTAGTTACAAAGCAGGTCCAACCTAGTTTATGGGTTTGGCCCAGTCTAAGATTCAAGGAGTCTAGAAGGATTAACATACGTGGGGAGTAATCACTGAGATAGTCACTCTCAGAGATTAGTACTATCTTGAATTGTGCCTATTCTTTTTTTCTTTTGGTAAGGGAAAGGGAAAGGAGAAGGGGAAGGGAGATGGTGACTTGAACCCTTAACCTTAAGAAGACAAAACTTTTACAAGATAAGGAGTATCATTGGACCAAAGATAATTGTACCTATTCTTACCTATAACAATCCTCTTCAAATGATTAGTCACCTATCACGTCACTCCACCGTCTCAACAAAGACTCTGTGCTTATAAATTGTAAGTTCTCTTCATTGAAAGATGCATCTCTCTACACACCTTTTACACGACCAGCTATGTTATAGCTATCCAACCTCATCTAGAGCTTACCCTTACTCTCTCTCACACCATCTACTTTATTAATAAAGTTATCTGGCTATCGTTGTCGCCTTCAAAAGTGGAGTAGGTCATCTTGACTGAACCACTATACATCTGTGTGTTGCTCGTGTTGACCCAATCTTTGTCTCATTCATTAATTGTTTTATTGATTACTCTGCATTATACACTCGATTGTTGATTGTGTATAAATCCACTTTTGTGCATCATCATTTACTATTATCATTTTTTTGTTTCCCCTGTATTGTTTTTGTTATTATTTACTCTATAAAATAGATGAAACTACATATTATGCAATTTTTTATTTCATGAAACTAATTCAAAATTTTTATATATCTAACAGAATGTATTTTGCCATTTGCTTCTTAATTTATAAATAACACTTAATGTAAATAAAAAATAGCATATTGACTATAAAATCCAAATAATATTCAACACGAAATGAATCTTAAATTGTAAATTAATATATAATTTTCATAAAAAATTAACATCTAATTTATATTCAACTTTGACGATTAATATGAAATTAATTTTTACTGTTATTAAATTAATATTGAAATTTATTTAATCAATATTTTGGAGTACACACTTAATGTAAATAAAAAAAATAGCATATTGACTATAAACACCAAATAATATTCAAAATGAAATGAACCTTAGATTGTAAATTAATATATTATTTGATTAAAAAATAAAATTAAGTTTGTCCAATTTGTATTCAACTATGTCGAATTAATATCTAATTAATTTTTATTGTTATTAAATTAATATTAAAATTTATTTAAACATTTTTTTGGAGAACTAAACTATATCAATTTTTTGGGTACTAAATCAATTTTTTTTTGATTTTATTAAATTTTTAATAGTTTTTGGTACTAAATTTAGAGAACGATAATTGTAAAAATAATAAAAATATTTAGAATGAAATTATCAATTTTCATTAGTAACATTAACCAAAAGGAGATAGTGGGAATCTTTGTGCAATAAATTTCAAACATCAAGGGGTCTCCGTGTTATTTATAAAATATCAGAAGGTGTCCGTGTAATGTTGTCAAAAATAAGTGGATGTCTGTAACTTTTACCTTTATAATTAAACATTATTTTATTATTATTTTATCTTAAATACTTGAATTATTGTATTTCTAATAAAAATAATTATTGATTAGGAGGGTTTGTTGGTAACTAAAAAAGAAATTTGTGTGGGTGTGTTTCTATGTACATTTACATGTAGAAGACTGGACATTTAGTGATTAAATTTATAATTATATTGTGTCATTTGAGGATGAATGGTGATAGTGGTCATAAATTCATGAATTTTATAAATGAGCAAGATTTGGTTAATTTTATTTATCGGTCAAAGATTGTGAATTTAATTGTATTATGTTAATATTTTTTTTACGTGAGGTATTTATTACATAGGAATAGGGTGGATTGAAAATATGATGATTGAGTTTATAATTATGTTATGTTATTGGATTGAGTGGTAGTAGAGGTGATAAATTCGTGAGTCTTATAAATGAACAATGTTTTATTTATTGTTGAAAAATTATAAATTTCAATGGATTATAATAGTATATTTGTTTTTTTTTTGGAGAGACATTTTGTATATATGGTGTTGCTTTGGGAAGTTTTTATATATTTTTATGACAATTTTGCTAATATGGAAGATATGGTCGACGATATATTTTGAGTCATTTTAAAAAAAGAATTGATATGAATATTTTTAGACGATTCCTTTTGAATTTAACAATTGTTTAAGATTTTTTTGTTTATTGTATAGTACCTTCAAGCACGGACAATGAATAGTTAATCTATAAAATACTAAATATTCGTCAAGAAGATGTGAAAAACTTAATCGAGACAAAAAATTAATGTTCTTTTTAAAACTTATCCTATATCCTTTCAAATAACTTTTATAACAAGGGAATATACATATATATAACTTTGATAAGAAGGGTTTTGTTTTGATTTGTGGTAATGATAAAAACTTTGATATATATATATATATATATATATATATATATATATATGTTATTATTATTATTATTATATGATAAATAATGGTATTAAAATATAGAAAACATATTAAAAGATATTCAAATTTTAAACCAACATATTTTTTAATAACGAAAGAATAGTTTATTCTACACTCACTATACAATTGGATATTTATAATATAAAGCACTTAAGTTTCAAAACATTTATCTAAAAATTTTAAGTAATGTCATCCGATGACCATTAATATTTATATTAAAATTATTCATATTGCACTGTATTTTTAATTACAAATTACCTAGTTTATTTATATTATCTCCATGTGAAAAGGCAAAACAATTTTGAAGCGATCTCTTTCGTTCTCTTCTTTTGCATAGATATTATGATCGGTCTGTGTTTGTCGACTGATACTGTTTTCATGTTTCGTCGGAGGAGAATTACAATTCCGACAAATTCGTCCGTCTGCAGTTTATGTGTTCAGACTAACTTCTGTTTGGCTGGTTGTCTTAGAACACAAAAAGACACAATCACGCAAATGAACACACAGACAGTCATTTTCTATGCTTTCACACCTGAGATTGAAGGAGAGAGACGGGTTAAGGGTCAAATTTGTCAGGGTTGTGATTCTCCTTTGGAAGCATGGAAATAGTAACAGCCGATGATCGGATCCCCATGTGTCTATGTCCGAGAAGGAAACGGGAAGTGGTCGGAAATTCCGTGGGACACGGCTCTCTTCGTGTGATAGATGGTCAGACTCTAGCAACGCACTGAGTTGGTAGGTTCTCTTAGAAACCCCAATCTGATCATGGGTTCTTACCTTTTGTTTATATGATTCTGCCCAAATTGATGAATTGAGAGGCACTATTCGATTTCCCCAACCCTAACCCTAGTTTCGTATATGGTTCTAATATTGTTTGTTCTCGTTATTCATCTTTGAATTATATTTTCTCTAATTGTTCTAATTATGCATTTGGGGTTTTATTTTGATCCTATACGTAACCTGATGTTAGTTTAATTTGGTTCTTGAAGCTGCTAAGTGATGCTTTTATGTTAAATTCGCTGAGCTTCCCTAATTTACATGTTTCTTTGTTAAATTTCTGGTAATTGCTGCCATGGGTTGTTTATGTTTACGGAGGAATGGTGATTAATCTTATACAATTATTTGGTTTATTCTACGCTCATTATACAATTGGGTATTTATAATATAAAATAACTAGGTTTCAATAATTCTATTCAACAGTCTCAAATAGACTTATCCAACAAACACCAACATTCATCTCAAAATCATCTACATTGTACTATATTTTCAGACACGGTTTATATAGTCTATTTATATTTTCTCCTCCCCGTAAAAAGGCAAAATAATTGTGATGCGATCTCTTTCGTTTTCTTCTTTTGCATAGATATTATGGTCGCTCTGTGTTTATCGATTGATACTGTTTTCATGTTTTATCTGAGGAGAATTACAATTCTAACAAATTCGTCCGCCGTGTGTTCAGACTAACTGTTGTTTGGGTGGTTCTCTTAGAACACAAAAAGACACAATCAGGCAAATGAACACACAGACACCCATTTTCAGATTTTCTATGCTTTCACACCTGGGATTGAAGGAGAGAGAAGGCTTAAGGGTCAAATTTGTCAGGGTTGTGATTCTCGTTTGGAAGCATGGAAATAGTAACAGCCGATGATCGGATCCCCATGTGTCTATGTCCGAGAAGGAAACGGGAAGTGATCGGCAATTCCATCGGAAACGGCTCTCTTCTTGTGCTAGATGGTCAGACTCTAGCAATGCATTGAGTTGGTAGGTTCTCTTAGAAACCCTATGATTCTGCCCAATTGATGGATTGAGAGGCTCTATTCGATTTTCCCAACCCTAACCCTAGTTTCGTATATGGTTCTAATATTGTCTGTTCTAATTATGCATTTGGGGTTTTATTTTGATCCTATATGTAACCTGATGTTAGTTTAATTTGGTTCTTGAAGCTGCTAAGTGATGCTTTTATGTTAAATTAGCTACGCTTCCCTAATTTACATGTTTCTTTGTTAAATTTTTGGTAATTGATGCCATGGGGTTTTTATGTTCACAGGGGAATGGTGATTAATCTTAGCAATGTTTGTTTTTTTGATTTTCTCCAGTCAGGCAAAATATCCTAAATTTATTTTTACTTCTTCTCTAAAGGAAACTTAAATATGGACTATGACAATTTATCTATAACTGAAATTTTATGAATGCTCTTAGTCGAGCTCATAGTTTCATATCTTGATTTTTTTTGTGAATTTTGCCTTCGTACACCAAACAGAAGGTTCTTTCTGTTCTGACATTTGGACACAAACAATTCACCGGCCAGGAGTTTGGTTTTAAAAAAATGTTATTCTACTGAATTTTGCGCTTCATTCTGGCCATAGTTGTCCATTTTGTTAACATGAGTTTCTGTCGTGCTTAAGAGTAATTATTTCTCTCATGAAACAATGCAGTTTCTGTTTGCTTTACCCTTTTGAGGATTGGTCTTGTTGTAGATTCTGTTCTTATGGACATTTCAAAACCTGTCTTATCTCAAAGTGAACGCTCCATCTAAGAAACATCAACTCAATCAGTGGTGTAGTAACGTCATTAATTGTGGGTTGCGTTACTACCAGACCTTTGTGTTTGTATGCATCCATGCCAGTATCAGAGAGAGAAAGTGAGAAAGAGGAAAAGGGAGGGGGGAGGGGGGAGAGAGAGGCGAAATATGGTCAAGAACCTGGAAAGCTGAGACTAATAGTTTTTACTCTAATAGCTGATGAAGAAGCAAATATGAAAATGCAAAATATGGGGCATAAAAAAAAGAAAAGAAAAAGAAGAAGAATCGGAGAGATTGGGTTTTTAAACAGAGGAAGTTAAATACATTGCCAAAAAAGTATTCATGGGGTTGGTAAAGAAATGAAGATGAGAGAGAGAGGTTGGTTTTAGATCCATTGCAACTATGTTGTTTACGATACCCATATATTTGACTGGAAAACGACACCCAGAATGCAGTACAGGATATCATCTTCGTGTTATATCAAAATTTTCTTTATCAACTTCTGGAATTTCAATCTAACAAACAACCAAAATTCAACTTGTTTATGTTGGTCTACCAGATCAACGGAACAAGTGTTTCTGATGTGGCCATTAAATTTGATTGCACGGAGAGATTTCCTTGTGAAGGGATTTTGTTGCAGGATATCAATATAGTGAGAGAAGCAAGTGGAGCAGCCAAAGCTATGTGCAGCTGCAGCCATGTCAATGTAAAAGAAACTGGAGCTGTTTCGCCACATTGCTCTTGAGGAGGAGCAGAAGGAGCGAATTTAAGTGAGAGAAAACCTTATCCCCACTCGGAGACATTTAGTTCTGGGCTTGGACCCAACATGTATCACTAGTCAAAATATATAATGTTGTGTGATATCCAATGAGATTATAATTCACTGAAGACGTTTTTCCTTTTCCTTTTTCTTGGTTAGTATTTCATATTTCTTCGGAAGCTTGGAACTGCAGGCTTGACTGCTTACATTTTCCATGGATAGAGTTTCTTTGGCTATTGATTGATGTACAGATAACTGGGAAAAAAAATAAATCAATGGTTTGTTATTACATTGTACCCTAAATGTCATAAATTAGTTCCAGTGTGGTTCTTGGACTACTATCTATTTTAGATTCTGTTAAAAAGTAATGTATATGTCATTCAATGATATGAATTATGAATTTATATTTTCATACAAACCCTTGAACTAATTATGCGTTATGAGCATATGTATCAATTTTTAACATAATTTGAAACAGATGTTAGTTTGAGGGTGACATTTGAACTAATTTATAACATTTAGGGTGTAATGTATAAAAAATAATATTTCAGGGTGGAAAATGCAAATCGAGATATCTTTCAGGTTCAAACTATGAAAAGCCCGAAATACTAATACATTGGTATCCAGTAGCCTATTTTTTATTTTTTTAAAAAGAATCTTCTGACGACTAAAAGTAATGAAATTCATTGTGACAATAAGTTTGATTTTGTTTTTTTTTAATTTTTTTTTTCAAATTTCGTTTATGGTGGTGGGACCAAAAGTTAAGCAGTGGCTCCACTTGCCCCCCCGGGGGGGAATCTAGATATCAAACAAATAAAACTGGGCAGCTTAGTGTCACAAATTAAACACATGGGCATTTAGTTTAACAGGAATAAAGTCATAGGGTGTAACGTTTAATTACAACATCCAAAGGGGTAATTTAATTACTACATCTAAATTCTTTAAATTTAAACATGGAGAGTCCACTAGAGAGCATCCAGATATGTGATGTGGCCTGTGTGACTTAATTAAACTGATTTTTTTTTTTCAAATTACAACTAACTTTTAACTTAAATTTGTTAAGTAATCACTTAATTTCGTCACATACATAAATGAGCAATGCTATTGAGATTTAATTTACTAACCTAATTTACTATGACATTTGGATTGGTTGCACTTAATTAAGTCATATTTTTAGATCTAAGTAGCATGGCTCATACATAAAAATATATAAATACAATTTATGTCATCTGGGTTTGGGACGATTCTTGTCCCAGAATTAGGTTTTTAGTCACTTTTTAAAAAATTTTTACCTTTTAATTATAATATATATATATATATATATATTTTCTTTAAACTGATTTAATATAAATTAGGCTAATTTAGACAATTAAAAAAAAATTATATTATGACTTTCTTTATTTCAAACAATAGAATGATTTTTTGTAAACTTGCCTGCAAGTTTTTTATATTAACTAAATACATGCATGAAAATATATTTTTTTTCTTTCACATCACTTTCTATTACTTTTATTTTTGATTATTCTTATCTTTCTAACCTAACAGGCCCGAATGGTGATTTAATGTTAGAATATTAAAAAACTAACAGACAACCTGTACAAAATTTGTTATACCTTCCTACCATCACCCCTATCACTAAATCCTCCCTAATCATAATATTACTAGACAATTCTTATTAATGTAAAATGATGTTAATTTAAATTTTAAATAGTTATGAAAGATAAGTTTAAAATTCAAATTTAAAGTAATTTAAGAAAAGACACATGGAATAGTTAGAAAAAACACATGGAATAATTTGGTTGAAGTGAGGCAATAAAACATTTTAAAACTCTAGTAATTAAATATTTAAGGAGAGAGTCATGTCTCCTTCCTAATTTGATTGTTTTATATATATACATAAATATTTTTTTTTTTATGTTTTAGAAAATTATGCATTTTATTTGGAATGCTGCCCAAGATGTTCTCTCCACTCTATGCAACTTCCAACGGAAAAAGATATCTAATCACCAGTAGGGGGTCTTTATCCGATCTTATGGGAAAAAAATTATGATATTTCATTTTTTTACTTTTAGTCTATCATTTTCGATTAAATATACTGTTCATACTCAAATTCTGTCCAAACCAATCGGGTAGAAAATCAAATAAATGCATATTTTTTTATTATTAAATTTTTGGATATTTTAACAATTTAATTTTGTAATCTGTATCAATTAACTAATACAATAAACCAATAACACAAAAGAAAATATAATAAATTTGATAATACATAAACAATTACAATAAAAACACAACAAGAAAGTCATAAATATCTATACATCATATATATAAGAAAGCCATAAACATCTATAAAACATTAAAATTTCTAGATTTTTGGATTTTAATTTGTAGGGATTAATATACATATCAAATTTGATGATATATATATAGTCTACGTTCTTACCTGATTTTTTGCGAAATATCAAAAGATCTTCCGTTAGTCTACCCAATTCTTTGGATATCCGATCAATAAGGTCGAATAGAGTAGAATATGATAGAAATTTCCGCGTAATCAGAAATTTGAAGACCCCTACTCACCTATTTATGAAGTGCCATTTTGCATTAGAAGTCTGGAACATCTCTGGAATCGAACTACCTCCCAACTGGAAATTTATCCTTCAATGCTTGGTTCCTTACCTTAATTGATCTATTGGAGCCGAATGTATTGTGTTTAAGACTGACGCTGGTTTGGGCAATGTGGTTCAACAGGAATAGAGCTCGATTGGAGGAGGAAACCCAAACTCCTGTCCAAATTGTAAACTTTTCCACCAATTACTTGTACCAATTCAGAGCAAGCAGAATCCTCGATCTTATGATCCATACTCTTTTTGCTAGAAGGGATTCTAGGAGGTGGTCAGCGCCTCCAGCTGGTGTCGTTAAAATCAACTTTGATGGAGCTGTCTTCGCGCAATCTGGATGCCGAGGGATTGGAGCAATTTTCAGAGACTCTGTTGGTGGATTTGTGAGTAAAAAAATCCCGGGAGTTTTAAAAGATGAGCATATAGAGGCCATGGCGGCATCGATAACTATGACAACCGTGGTGGTGATGAACCACGACAATGTGATATTGGAGGGTGATTCAAGAGGGGTGATAGATGCTGTGAACTCAAGCCATAGGAATTTATCTGATATTGGTAATTTTGTTGATGAGATTCTACTGCGTGCTAAGAAACTGTATGTTTTCAACATCATGGGTAGTGCTGAGAATAGTGCTACCCATTGTCTTGCAAAATATGTAGCAACGGTCCCAGAATTTATGTTATGGAGAGATGAGTGTCCTATGTTTTTGTTATCTTCTCACCAATATGATGTACAAGATCCAGTTTGAATGGGAATAAAATATCATTTCGTATAAAAAAAACATA